ACCGAACCGAACCGTGAATTTTGTGTATCGTTGCACCCCTAATAAATATGTATGAAAGCAGCCTTCTCATGAGAATCGGCTGAATCTCAGTTTCTTGCGATTTTTGTTTAGAAACATCAGGGCCAGCTCATCAGTGCTTGATATACTCAGTTGCTTAGTGGTGCATTTTTGAGGAAAAATGCTTCACAAAAATATATTTACAGTGTGTACACGTCACACAAACCTGCTTCAGAAAGATGGTGCATGGGGATCTGCCTGGCCCGGGAGCCATCGCCAGTCCCCTTCAAGGCCTTCCCCAAACCGCAGCTCAATTCATGTCCAAGCATTCACTTGTACCTACTAAAAACACTGTCAAACCTAAAATGAGGACGTGGGCCCAGTGAGTGAAATAGTTTTTTTTTTTTAACAATGCGCTGTGTGCAAAGGCCTTAAGAATAAACATATGAAGCTGGAAGTAAACATAGGTCTCCTTCGAATTACCAGAAAATGAGCTGTCTTAAGTCTGTGACCCAAAAGTGATGTCAGAGGGTCCTGCAGGACACCAGAGAAGTGATAAACCACAGGAAGTCAGCTACTTATCAGCGCTGTAGTAATCTCATTACTTTACTGGGTTATTATTTATGTTATGTGTTGGAGATGCTAACCTCTCTTCCTGTCCTGGTTCTTTCAAGGTCCTGGAATGCATTTCACGTTTGTGCCAACTCAGCTCTGGCCGGCTGTCCTGGAGAAGCAGCAGCGGTTTGGGAGTCTCTAAGACAAGAGTCCAGGAAGACAGAGTTTTCTGGAAACCTCTACAACATGTGCGCCAGCCGCACAACGCTCCCACCCAGCACCGTGCCTGCAGCTCAGAGCCCCCCCACGTCCGACCAGACAAACCAGGAAACACTGAAAGGGCAAACACACAAGCACAGCCCCACGCTCTTCACTGTACTGCTCCCTGCGTGCAGCATGCTGCTAGTTCCGCTCAGGAGTTAGTTAACCCATATTAACCCTTCGGTCAGAGTGATGCCAGCAGGCCGTCACAGTCCTGCTGCCCCTACAATTCAAACAAACAAGGGCACACAATCCATACAAGTCACTTTCATCATAATCCTTAAATAAGGATTGCTATAACTGGATCAGTTTGAAATGTTCAGTACACTAATACAGCATTGACGCATTGAAAAAATTTGAAGACTTGCCTTCTGTCAGACAGAAGCCTCTTACATGAAGTCCACCAAGTTTTCAATCACTGCAAGAGTTTAAATGATTTTGATTAAATTCGCATGATCTAATATTTATTATTCTGTTAAAGAAGAACGAACAGTTAATGTAAGGAAGAATAAACCCTTTCCCCACATCTCTTTAATGAGGCAACTTAGCTGAAAGAAAAGCTCTGGTTATGAAAAATATATATCTTTTAGCCCTGCTGCAGTTCATCACCAGTGTCCCATGATTTGAGGACAAAGGAGATTTTGAGGCATGCTGTAACGCCAGGTGTTCAGATCTGCGTGCAACCTAATCAGGTGTGATCCGGAGGAGAGTATTATCAGCGAGGGGGGTGAACTGTGTTTTTGTGCAGTAGGTTTAAGTCATCACCCTGTTTGACTGGTTTAACGACATGAAATCAGATTTATGTGACGACAGACTCTCTGATGTGCTGCTACATGTTATTATTTCATGTGACTTTAACCCAGTTTAAAGATGTCTCCTGTGGGAACAGTGTGCACATGTCTCAATAAAATGCACAAAAAGCATGCAATAAACATTTCCTTGGACAGTAATGAAGCATAAAGGAAAACAAGCACATTAGTCAGCAGTCTGAGTCTCTTTAGTGTGTAATTGTCATTTGTAAGAATGTTTTTAATTTCTTTCACTGGTTTACACATCACTGGTGTATTTGCTGCATCATTTTCTAGTTTTGCATTATTTAGTGGGACATGCAACTTTACGTCACTGTGATTTTTCACCATGGAAGGTATGTTAACATACATGACACAATCTTGCTGAGTGATTGAAACTATTACTTATCCTAAAATCAAATGCTTTGAGTCAGGTTTTATGTGTGTGTGTGTGTGTGTGTGTGATCTTAATACCCTTAAGCTGTTTCATAACAGCAGAGTCATGATTAATCTCATCTATCTTTATTCATCCACTGTGTAGCAGGTTGCACCTCAAAACACTTAAAATCAGTCTCAGTGTCCTCAGAGCAGATAAACACCGTAGGTAGGAAGACTTGAACATCATGTGAGGAGTGATGACTGATGCTGTGGCAGTCAAGGGAACCTCAGGTGGACCTTAAATACCTTTAATATTTATCAACCTCCAGATTATCCAAATCTCACAGGTTAGCCTGACCAGCGCTCTTTCATAGTTTTAAGTGTGTACGTCTCATTCCATTTGCACTACAGATTAGAGATGGACCGATCTGATATTACCTATCGGTCAGATACTGACCTAAATTACTGGAT